AAGTCAAAACAGCTTGAGGGAGCCTATGGAGATGTTGCTTTGTTTACAAGATGCCTACAATTCTTCTTCTTTTTCCTTTCTCTCCTCTGACTATCTCTTCCTTGCAGTAGGTTAGTAGTTTTGCTTGCATGTGTTGCAACCTGTGGAGGTCTTTTGCATTTATTCAAAAGAGAGGAGGAGATAGAGAGAGGAAGCTGGTAACCAAGGAAACACTTGCTTTGCTGCAGCTAGCTCCCTCCCTTTCTCCTCCTCCCAAACGCCTCGTTGTTGCAGGACAGCAAGAACAAACTGACAGCAACTTATTACTTATAAAAAACCTCTTCCTCCAACAAAATGACAGCAATAAAGGCCACCATATTCATCTTCATCCTGCTTGCTCTGCTCTGCTCCACTGCATACGGGCATAAATATTCTAAACCTTCAAGGCCAACTTCTTGGGTCTGCTACACTACAGGAGGAGGTGAGAAGGAGGCTGTGGTCATCATACTTACACCTTTTCTGTTTGTCTAACAAGCCAGGCAAACAAGCAACCAATGCTTGTATATTGTTTTGTACTAGATACATGTAGAGCTACAAGTAAAGATACAAATACATGTACAATGTAGATCTATTCTTTAAATAAAGTAGACATGATGAATAATTGTCTGATAAAGCTTAAATGATTCAATTTACACTCCATTTTGCTTACTTATGAATCTATTAGCACGTTCCTTCATTTCAAATTCTTTTTTTCCTATAATACAGCTGCTGACATGGCAGGTGGGAATATAAATATAAGTACCACGAAATGTGACAGTGGGAAAGCAACCACACTCAATACAGTGATAGGATTTGGATGTGCTCTCATAGCTATATTAGGATTTGGTAGTAACTTTATTCCAGTGAAGAAGTTCGACACAGGTGATGGGATGTTCTTTCAATGGGTGCTGTGTATTGGTATCTGGCTAGTTGGAGTGGTAGTTAATCTGGTACGGTATCAACCACCGTTCTTTTACCCGGTGTTCTTTGGAGGGATACTATGGACTAGTGGTAAGAGAGAGAGAGAGATGAAAGTACTGTATATTCATGAAGTAAAAGATTGTTATCAGTATGTATTAACTGTTGTTGTATGGATCACATGATTTAGTTTTATATAAACATCATATTATCATGTGACACATCATCTCAATACATTTATGTATAGATACATGTACATGTATACAAAGCTCATATTTCATTTTCTCTTTCTGAATTCTTCCCAAATCTCTCTCTTTCTCCCTCTCTCTTTCTCTCTCTCTCTCTCTCTTTTTCACCCACAGGTAATGCACTAGTAGTACCAATCATAAAAACTATTGGACTAACAATGGGACTGACTATATGGGGAGCCACCAATATGTTATCAGGATGGTTCACTGGAATGTATGAATAATAATATTAAGAATAGTGTTAAAAATAAAATTAAAACTATAATAATATTTAAAATAATAATAATTATTAAAATTAAAATGATGTTAGTTGACAATTCTTTGTAAAAGTGAGCCTGAAGTAGATATGGTAATGTGGAAGACCACTACTATACTTCTCACCTTGCTT